TCATTGTAACAAAACCCACTTACCATTCTTGCCTTTAGATTATATTTTAATGTCTGAGACACAATTTCCTGTATTATTATCCAAATTTCTGTATATTTTTGCCAATGAATTATCCTAAACAGTATTTAGGGGGGGAAATGTGTAGTGCTAGAAAACCTCCTAATTATTTTTAATCTTAATATGCTCTTTATAACCTTGACAAATTTCAGTCCTTTTCTGCACTCCCAATCCCCATCCATCCCTGTCTCTACCCACAGCCAAGATTTTGACTGTCTGCAGCTCTCTCCCCAGCCCTGCCTACTGCCTAGTCCTGAGGCCTCTGTAGCAGGGTTGATCAGAATGAAAAGTCCCGCTTAAGCACTGAGGTTGATGTTCGAACCCACTGGGCACTCTTTAGGGGAAAGATGTGATCACAGCAAGTCAGAATTAACTCAGTGATGAGCTTGATTTGTTTTGTTTTGGTAAGAATTATTAGATGTTGTTATGTGCCAATGAGTTGGAACTGACCCTTAGATCTAGACCCTCTCGTGGGTTTTCAGAAGGAGCAAAATGCATGGGAGGAGATTGTCCATTTTTCTCATATGGAGCAGCTGGTGGACTTGAACCACGTGCCTTTGGGATTGCTGCATAGCTCCTTATCACTAGATCACCAGAGCTCCCCTCTTACCACTAGGCCACCCGAATTATTTAGGATATTTTACAATATAGATTTAGGGTTTTACTAAAGACCTATTGAAAATTAGAATCCCATGGATCCAGGGTTGGGAAGGGAGAGAGAGCAGAGTAAAAATTTGTTGTTAAGTGTTGTTCAAGTCAGAACTGGCTTATAGATTACCCTTAGTGAATTTTCAGAGATAGTAAACTGTGTAAGAGGAGATTGCCCATTTTCTTCATTAAGCAGCTATGGATTAGAACTGTGTACCTTTGAGTTGGCAGTATAACTCATGACCGCTTAGTAAATAGATAAGACATACTATTGAGGTGGGTGAAAGGAAAATCAATATTCAGTAAGGGGCAGATCAGCGCAGTATCCCCAAGGAAAAGAAAGAGGTATAGAAAGATTCATGGAAATTTGAATTAAGGGAGGAAATGGGGAAAGTATGATTGATTACATTTTGGGCATTGAAGTATATTTTATAGAGCAAAATGTCTATGAATGGAAATTCATTTGCTTTGTAAGTCTTCATACAAATCATAATTTAAAAATTGTTTTATTTATAAAAGAAGAGGTAAAGGAACTCAGATTCCTGCTGAGGTGTCCCTGAAAATGACATTTTAATAGCAATCTGACCTATGTGACACTGATGTACGCTGTTGTTTGAAATGTTGGCAAGCCAAGCCCATTGCTGATAGTTGATTCCAATCCATGACAGCTGCAGTGTGTCAGTGCAACCCGCACACCATCAATCCTGATTGGCTGTGATCTTGCAGAAGCAGGAAAACAAGGGGTGTCTTTCTAGGAGACTCTGAGTATGACTTCTAAACATTTTTATGAATAATTTTCCATTTTTATTTTATATTATTTACAACAGTGACAACATCTTTTCATGCATACTGATGTGACATAAGATCTTTAATGAAATCTCTGTTATTGGACATCAGCTTATTTAGGAAATTTTGTCCCTTTAAATTACTTTCCTATTTTATCTTTCTGAAATGACTTTTCAAATGTGACTCAGTTAAAAATTCAAGCGTAGAGATGCAGTCTAAAACACGGGCACATTTTTCCCTTTTACATTCTATACTCCTTGTAGATGTTTGTATAAATGTTGAGAGACACGTGGCAGAGAGACACATGTGGCAGAGTGGCACACTGTATCTCGGGGCAGTAGCAGAACAGCTTGTATTGATATATTTCCACTGATAATTAGAGATGAGGAACAGATGCACTAACAGGAGCCGTAATTCTAGATTGTGTTCTGTTTGTTAAATACACTGCCATATTCAGTGTCTGCCATAGGCAATGGCAAAAGCAGATGCTGAACATTTTTCCTATAGAGATCTCCTTCGGTGGTGTCTCTTTTCTCCTTGCCTTTTATTACAGCGAACAGAATTTTGCACAGTTCATCAGAGCTGAAGCTTGACCCAAATCAAAAGCAGTTCTAACAGTGTCTGGGTGGCTCTTTTTAAATCAGTTAAATAGCGCCACCATGTGGCCACAATTTTTTACAGCGTTCCAAATGCATTTGGCCTGTGTTTCTTTGAAGCAAAGACAGAGAAGCTTCGTCTTTCCTAATTTGGACATGTAGCTGGGTGAGGCTATCCCTTGGGAAGGGACATCATGCTTGGAAAGATGGAGGGTCAGCCAAGGAGAGGAAGACCCCAACGAGCTAGATGACACGGTGACTTCAGCAGTGGGCTCTAGTGTCAGAGATGATGAAGATGGCACAGGATAGGACAGGGTCCTACTCAGACGGCACCCAACAATAACCACTTATGGGAGAAAAATTTTAATTGCTTAAAAAAGCCTTTTTTGAAATAAAATTTCTGTTTTATACTGGTTTACTTACAGAGTTTTTATCCGTTGTTTTTCACACCACATCTTTCCCCTCTACTTTACCCACCCCTCCCTCCACCTATCAAATTGTGTGACCCTATTATTAAAGCTCCCCCCCCGCCTGTCCTCACCCCCCGTCTCCCTTCTCGGATCCTAGTACACCCTCATACACGTTCAACAATAGTGGCCTTGTACAGTATTGGTTGTTAGGTGTGATCCAGTCAACTGCCTGGTATAAGCGACCCTAAGAACATCAGGTTGAAACCATGCCCTATCCTGTGCCATCCACGTAATCTCCTCTAGGCTAAAACCTGCTGTTTTAGTCACTGTGTCGATCCCTTTTATTCAGGGAGGTCTGATTTAAGTTTGTTTCAAAGGTAACATGAGAAAATTCTGGTTCTGGAGTAATGTGAATAGTGTATATAGGTTCTATCTGATTTTTATTCCATTTGGTGACTACCAGCAAGGGTTGACCAGTGTGCCATGAGTGGCTGGAACGGGTGTCAAGCCATGAATTCCACTCTCAGGAGTGATTTCCGTTGCCCTGACACAATCTTTGACGTAGCACTGGCCTGTCATTGCTGAGTGGTGTTAACTCATCGCAATGTCCAGGGTTTCATCTGGCTGCCTGTTTACAAGTCCAGATACAAGTACTAGCAGTCAGAATCCATGCATCCTGTATAATGTGCTGCTCTACTAGGGAGAATTGAGTAAGAAACTCTCTCTCTTCCTGGAAATTCTTGCGTGGGCGTCCTTGGTGAGCAGGCTTTGTGAAATTCTTGTGAGACTAACAGGAGCTTTGAGCAAGCTTCCACAGGGAAATCAGCCTTTTCAGCAAGAGGGTGGTACCACGTATCTTCAAAGTGAAGCGACCTAGTGGGTAAGGAGTTGTGCTGCCAACCCAGCGGCACATGCTTTGAACCCACAAGATGCTCCTCAGAAGAAAGACGAGTGAGCTCTGCCTTTGTGATTAATAGTTTCTGAAAACCCACTAGAGGGTGAGGTTTGAGGTGGTTCCAACTCAACTACACAGAACAACCTGGAGACAAACATCCCAGTCTCAGTATGTAAGCTGCTCAGTCGTTGTCACTCTTAGACATTGTCTCATTGCACAGCTTACAAAATACGTCCTGCTCAGGTCTAGGGATTGTGCAAAGATCCCAAATCCTCGGTGCGTATTGAGCGGCTGTTGGGTGAACTAAATCTCTGGCAGCTTTTTGGTCCCTTCGAAGTAATGTGCAGCTTTGAGTCTAGTGAATGAGTCCTGAGGCTAGAGAACAACCACAGGAAATCAACTACGTTCAATCTCTGCTCCTGCTTTGCACCACTGCACTGCATGTTGTTCCGGTTGTAAAATTCAGGTTCCTTTTTTCTATGATTTTATATTTTTTTAAATGATTTATTTTAGTCTTCCCCCCCCCAGCCGAAGTTGAACGTGAGTTTGTTAGGAATAGAGGCAGATACAGCTCCGTCTTCTGGAACGTGCTTTTCTCCCATTAGAGTATAAAACTCATTGTCCTGGAGTTGGAACCGACTCATGGCTGATCTTACAGAGTTTTTAGAGACCGCAAATCACATGGGAAGAGATTGTAGAATTTATAGATATGATTGTAGAACTTTTATATGTTGTTGTTGTTAAGTGCCGCCGAGTCGGAGGAGACTCATAGTGACCCTATGAACGAAAGACCTGAACACTTGAATAGCTTTCGTCCTTTCTCCAGGTTCATAGGGTTTCTGGAGGCAAGCTATTTCGGAAGTGGACGCCACTCCTGCTTCCAAGCTTTTAATCAGGGAGCTCCAGCAAACACTGTCCACCATGGATAACCATTATCACACTTGACATATCAGTGTCACAGTGTTCAGCTTCACAGTAACCATGAGTTACCTCTGTACAGCAAGTGGACAGACCAGGGCTATACAACCTAGAAGAATGTTTGACCAAAACCAATTAAAACCAGGCCTGAGGCCAGATTAAAGTCACTCACCTTTGGTATATATAGATATATATAGATATATAGAGATATATATAGATATATAGAGATATATTTTTGCTTAAATTAAATAAAAAGATTTATGTAAGTATTTATAATATTGTTTAATATTATAGATATATAATTTTTCTCCTTCCTGGATCAAAACAGTTACTCTTTGGAAAAAAAGAATTGAAGATTAAAATTTCCACAAAAAAATGTCAGAATCAGTTACTCCAATCGGCCTCCAACTGTTGATCGGGCGTAATACAGGCTGTACATATATGCTTTATTGTGGGATGTAATATCAGTTGTTCAATTATATCGTGCAAAATGGAGATATTTTATCAAAGAGGACAACATAGTAAGATACAGCTTTAGAGTTTGGAAATGAACTGGGAATTTGGCTGTCTGTGTAAGGTCGCGTCCCAAAGCCCGGGTTAACTCCAATAACATGTTTTGTCTAATAACTTCTGTTGATAAGATCAAACTTGTGTGTCAGATAACTTCTTAAAATACTATCTTCTCTCTAGGTTGTTAAATCCACAGACTTCCAAGCCTTTGACTGGGGAAGCAGTGCTAGGAATTATTTCCATTATAACCAGGTAAATAATGCCTTTAGGATTAAAGTGGTCCCTAAAAACTCCATCAAGGCCACCAGGCCTGGGTATTGGGATCCTGGCAGCCCTGTGGGAAGTGTTTGGGAGAGTTGATTGAGTTGGGTTTGTTCTTCATCAGTCAGTCCTAAAACACCCCTGCCTTCCTGAGTGGTGGTGTGGGCCAGATCTCCCTTCTTTATTCTCTCACTGGCAAATGTCATTCATAATGATTCTCAACATGGGCACTGCAGTCCCAAGGTCTTGGCCAAATGTATTGTCTATGACTCTTTCATGTGAAAAGCAGTTATTATTTCTTGAGTTCTATGTGTCAGGTCCTTTTACCCTCCTCCCTCCCCTTTAAAAAAAAAATTCCTAACAACAAGTTGCACAAGTGTGATTATTGCTAATTTAACAATGAAGATACAGGGCCTTCGAGAATTTCTAGAGCTTGCTGTACTTCCCAGAGGGAAAAAGGAGGAGGGTACAGGTAATAAGCACATTTTCAACCACTCAGCCCTACAACCTCCCTCCTTAGAAAAGAGGAGAGCAATACCTTCCTCTCAGGAAATCAAACTCTTGTGACAGTGCCTGGAATATGGTAACAGCTCAAAAGCTAGTAGTTCATAGTTTCATTCTTCCACTATGGCCTCGGTTTTTCTTTTCTAACTACTGTTGCTGTTCCAGTAATGGTAACCTGAAAAGTAAACCAATAATCAATGCTTTTAAGAATTGACTCTCTTAGTCTCTTGTCTAACTAAATACATGGTATTGGATGAATGTTGAGTGTGTCTTTGAGGGTGTTGGGAACCAAACCAAAAAAATCTTTCTGTGTATTTTTGTTGTAGACTTACCCTCCTGCTTACAAATTGAAAGACATGACCGTGCGGACAGCTGTCTGGAGTGGGGGCCGGGACTGGCTTGCGGACGTTGGCGACGTCAGCATCTTACTGACCCAGGTCTCCAACTTGGTGTACCACAAGTTCCTTCCAGACTGGGAACATCTCGACTTTATCTGGGGTTTGGATGCGCCTTGGAGGATGTATAGTGAAATTATTGCTCTAATGAGAAAATATCAGTAAAGGCTGGACTTGTGAGGAATTTGTAATCAAGTTTTGATTAAGATGTGTTAAAATGTGTTAGCTTAACTCCGGACACAGTGGGTAAGCAGTCTGTTACCCACCACAGGTCGAGTGAACCCACCAGCTGCCCTCCGCTACGAAGATGTGGCCGCTGCATCCCTAAAGGTGGAAACCTTACGGGGCAGCTAGCTCTGCTCTGTCCTTGAGGGTCACTGTGAATCCAAACCAGCTCAACGATGCTATTTTTGTTGTTGCTAATTTCTGTGAAATCTTTGCTTCTCTTTTCGCAGGCTTTTCTATTTTTTTATTATGCAAAGAATTTACAATTTTGAAGATACGCGCTTCTCTCTGTTTAGGATGAGAAATATCTTAGTTCTTTAAAAATATTTGTTCAATGAGGACCACTAACTAGCTGAATATGAAGTTATTGTCTCAACTGTGTTGTTCAACTATTGAAAAAGAATCATTGATTTATGAGAAGGTCATTAAGACTGTTCTATGTACCTTTCTTTAAAATTTAAAAGATACTGTATTGCACTTTTTAAATTAATTTTAATGAAAACTTTTAGAGACTTAGGGTTGTATTATGCTTTTTTAAATTCCAACAAAGGACAAGAATACACATTTTAATACTGTGTTAAATGGTGAATAATCTGACAGGGACTTGAGAAGTACTTATCTCCTTTCCTTAAACAATGTCCACTCTACTGGCCTGCTACTTAGGAATCTAAATGCATTTTCTCATGCTTTCATTCAGTAGGTACAGTCAAACCCAGTGATATCCAGCTCTGCCAGTTTTCAAGGTTCCATAATGAATTTTATTAACCAAACCTAATTGTTACTTAGTCCTATGTTTAAACTACACAAGCCAAGCAAAAGAACTTGCTGGAGATTTCAAAAGCAAGTTACCATAACATTTTTATTTAAAAAACCAAACAATATAACAAAACTAAACAAACCTGCTATGTTCTCAGTCGGTTGAAGACTATAACGCTTAACTATTTTCATGAATTCTAAATTCAGCAGCAGGTTAAAGCAAAATCCCAAGGCGTGAGTGTACCACTGTCTTTTCCTGGAACCAGCATGTGAGCCCCTTAACAAGTTGTTGCATTCTAGTGACAAGGGCAATGTGCAGCAGACACCCTGGGCCTATAGGAAAGAGACTCCTAGTCCAGTTTCACAGAGGAGACATGTGAATACAGATGTTTTCATTACAACTCAGGGATTCGTTGACTTTATATCCTTACAGATGTCAATATTTTTAATGCTCCTGGTTTGCATCCATGTCAAGAAGCCCATAGTCCCATGCTGCTTTTGTGACACTGTCTCCTTTCAAGCCTGTCAGGTGGACAGAATGACCATGCAATTCTTTTTTATTGAAATATGATTTAATTACCTTAACTGCAGTAGTCGTGGTACTGCCTGTTATGCACATGCAAACTTATACTGCTTTATTATTGAAAGAGTATTGTTTAAACTTTTCAATAAAACTCAAGTGAGCCTTACAGGCCTGCGGGATTGTGTGTCTGTGTATTCTCTTTTATTTAATATCCTTTTTAAAAAATTACATTTTCTATTGTTTTGCGTCCACAATTCATGTACATTGTGTGTCACACATTCCTTCATTCACATTGTGTTTGATACAGTCATTCCCATACACTGTGTTTTATATAATTAATCACATTGGTCTATGCCCTCCATCATCCCGACTTTTCATGTCCCTACTAGACTAGATCTATCTTAATTCCTTCACCCCCTCCTCTACCCACAAAACTCTGTGACCCCCATTATTTCCCACCCTCTCCTTCTCCTTTGGACTTAGTTATCCTTCTATTTTTACAGTAATAGTTTTTATAGTATTTGTCCTTATGAGACTGAGTTCGTTCACTCAGCAGAACACTCTCTAGCCTCTCTCATATTATATAGTATTTTACAAGATCATTTCTCCTGAGTGCTGCATAGTATTCCATTGTATGAATGTACCATAATTTCTCAATCCATCCCATCCATTTGTTGATGGACATTTGGTCTGTTTGCATGTTCCTGCTATTAGAATAATGTTGCTATAAACATCGGTGTATGTTTAATAGCTCTTATAGTCTTTTTGGCTTGAATTATGCTTTTCTTGTTCTTTCTTTTTCATCTTTGGAAAACTTACCAAAGCTGCCCACAAGCATTTATTCTTTTTCTATGGGGAGGAGAGAATGGTCTTAAGAAAGGGTGGGAGATGGTGTGAAAGCATTGACATTGAAAGTGGCCCTGCGGGTTTCATATGAGGGAGTTTGTGAAAGGAGACTGTTGGTGTCAGGTGCCATTGAGTTGACTGCAATTCATAGTAACTCTATGAACAACAGACGGAACCTTGCCCTATCCTACGCCTTGGTCATGATCAAGCCCAGTGTTGGCATCACTGTATCAGTCCGTCTTGTTGAGCCTCGTCCTTTCTTTCTCTGACTTTTCCCAGTATGATGTCTTTTTCCAAGGGCTGTACCCTCCTGACAACATGTCTAAAGTATGTGAGAGTAAGTGTCACCATCTTTGCCACTAAGAAGCACCCGGTTGCACTTCCTCCAGAACGGATCTGTGTGCCCTTTTGACAGTCCAGTGAACATTCACTACTCATCTCCAACACCACAATTCAAGGAAACAAATGTTTATTCAGTCTTGCTTATTCTTTGTCTACCTTTCACATGCATATGAACAATTGAAAATACATTAGAATTATAAAACTGTCATTGTAGAATGAGTATAAGGATTCAGGAAGGTGGGAGAGGCTGGAAGCAGAGGGATGCGGATGTACAGGGGGACGAGGGGATTAACCATTGGGTTGTACAATTTGATGGGTGGAGAGGTGAGGGAAATTGAAAGAATTTGTTCAAATTTGTATTTGAATTTTGTAAATAAACTAATATAAAAATAAACAAAAACCCCAAACATGTCACTCACATAAAATCCACCCATAGAGATTTAAAAAAGAGCACTGTGTTCAGTGAAAAAAAGAAAATATCATGGCATAAGTCAGACTGAAAAACCTTCACTGCCATCATGTCAGAACTAACTCATAGCTACCCCTCCAGTAAGTTTTCAGGATCTGGAAATTGCATGGGAGGAACAGTTAGATTCACAGTTTACCTTTCGATTGGCAGCACGACTCCCTACTTAACTCAGTAGGCCACCAGGGCTCCGAAAGTCCGACTGCTGTTAAGTGTTGCTGAGTTGGAATAAACTCATAGCTAACCCTACAGCAGGTTTTCAGAGGTTGCAAGTTGCCCATTTTTCTCCCATGGAGCAGCTGGGGGATTTGAACCCACATACTTTGGGGCTGACAGTGCAACTTCTTACCTACTAGGCCACCAGAGCTCTCTCGGCAGTGATTGATCTCATCTTCAGATAGCTGATGGGCTGAGACAGAATCATAGATTCACAGATTGTCCTTCATTGTACAAATGAGACAATGCAAGGCTGGCAAAGCAGGCCATGCCATGAAGGTTAACCACAAGGCCAGAAAGTTAATTCCAATTATAGTGACCCACTGACATGTCACAGTAGAACAGGGCTCCATATGGTCTTCAGTGGAAATTTTTTTGGGGAATAGGTTACCAAACCTTTTGATCAGTCGTCAAGCTCATTAACTATTTATGCCAGGGATTTCATGCCACAAGGTTCCTGAAATGAAACCTGGGTCCCAGTGTCATCTCTCCCATTATATTGTGAGCATCAGTGCTTGTTCATCTCTACCCAGAACACAACACTGAGTCAGGGACAGAGTGCATCTAAGCAAATTGATGTGAACTGATGAAATACATCACAAGTAGTGACATTTTTCTCATAGGGAGAAACAAAATTGCATGCAAGCAAGATTTTACTGAAGATTATCCAAAAACGACTGGAACAGCACATCAACAGAGAACTACCAGAAGTCCAGGCTGGGTTTAGAAGGGGTCGTGGTACTAGAGATATTGTAGCTGATGTTAGATGGATCTTGGCTGAAAGCAGGGAATACCAGAGGAATGTCTATCTGTGTTTCATTGACTATGCAAAGGCATTTGACTGTGTAGATCATAACAAACTATGGCTGACTCTGAACGCTTGATCGTTCTAATGCGAAATTTATACTTGGACCAGGAGGCAGTCATTAGAATAGAGCAAGGGAACACTGCATGGTTCAAAATTGGGAAGGGCGTACGCCAGGGATGCATCCTATCTCCATACGTTTTCAACCTATATGCAGAACAGATTATCCGGGAGGCGGGGCTCTATGAGGAGAAATGTGGGGTCAAGATTGGTGGACGATTTATCAACAATCTGCATTATGCGGATGACACAACCCTGCTTGCTGAAACTGAGGAGGACCTGAAGCGCCTGCTGTAGAGTGTCAAGGACTGCAGCCTACAATATGGATTGAGGCTCAATGTCAAGAAGACAAAGATTCTCACCACTGGACCAATTGGCAGCATCAGGATGGATGGTGAAGAGATTGAGATTGTACACAGCTTTAGTTTGCTTGGCTCCATAGTCAACAGTCTTGGCACCAGCAGCCAGGAAATTAAAAGGTGCAGTGACATGGGAAAGTCTGCTGTTAGGGACCTCTCCAAAGTGCTGAAGAGCAATGGTGTCTCTTTGGAGACTAAGGTGCGTCTCATACAGGCCATGGTCTTTGCAATCACCTGTTATGCATCAGAGTTGGACAATGACCAAGGAGGACAGAAGGAGAATTGATGCCTTGAGCTGTGGTGCTGGAGAAGAGTATTGAGAATACCATGGACTGCTAGGAAAACAAACAGATTTGTCCTGGAAAGGGTTAAACCGGGTGGCTCCTTGGAGGCAAGGATTCAGAGGCCCCGTCTAACATACTTTGGCCATGTTGTGAGGAGAGACCAGTCCTTAGAGAGGGACATCATGCTTGGGAGGGTGGAGGGATGGCGCAGGAGAGGAAGGCCCTCTATGAGGTGGATTGATTCGGTGATTGGGATAATTGGGATGGGAGTGTCAGAGACAGT